ACCCATCCAGCCTGCAAAGGAGCATTAATACGTTCACTGCAAGTAACAGGAATGGGTGTGTTTTCCCGGATTGTCTCAATGTTACAATTAATATAGGCAAATTTAGGGGATTTTTTTTTTCCAGAAGACACCAGAAAAAGAACAGTAAGGCCATTCTTTTCAGCAAAGCACTTAAACCGCACTGCAGCATACGCTGAACAGAAACACACTCCACAGCAGTACCAGAGCCACTCTGTATCCAATGGCATAACGAGATGTCAACTTTACCCCTGGTTATGATGGTCCCATCGAATTTCCACACCTGGAACACAAAAAAATCTTCCTACCTGAATCTCACCTTCTCCTCATCTACCTTTAGTAAAGCTCTTGCCCGACAGAAATTCAGCAAAGACAGCAAGAATGGCAACCCCTTTCAGGTTGCCCAGTCAACAGATCTCCCATGTGAGCTGCACGGAGAAGAAGGTCACTCAGAGCCGCTCACATCCCTAGAGAGACAGGCATTTTTTGATTGTCGTTGCTTGTTTCTTTAAATGAGACCGCTTGTAAATGCCTCACTAAATATTCAGTAGGATTTATGTTATTAAAGGTGCAGTATGAAATACCAGTGAAGGTCACGCATGCCCATGACATGGGCTTGAAATATCATTGTGCGACTGCACTGTGCGATGTGCCACTCTAGTCCTTTCCAGCTCCTCAGGCCTCATACCAGCATTGGAGCAAATGGGCAAAGTGTGGCAGGTACATAGTTCCAAAAATTGGATATTTTGGAGGAATCATCTGCAACCCTCCTGAGAAAAAAATCTGAGATGCCAATTGTCATGAAGGAGCTGACAGGAATCGGTACTTCCTTTTCTAGACTCATGACTGTGAGTTAACGACAATTCAAATGCAGCAGTACTTGTACACAGAGGCAGTTCCTGAAAGTCGGCATTACCGATAAAGACAAAAAGTTACCACTCCACTGACTGCATTCGTCCAACACTTCATGGGAGATGCAGTCTCAATAGCAATATTTTTCTTAGCGGTTGCTCAGGAAAACAGTTGGCATTTTGATTAATTAGAACACAGAGCAAAAAAAACCCAGACAATAATTACTAGACTTTTGAACTGTAATTGAACTTTCCAAGCAAAAGCTTGGAATTAGACAGGTCACAGGATGGAAGTTTTCAGCCACTCAAGAAAACGCTGTGCCAGAGCTGTCCCCAGGCCACTGCAGCAAAGCCACCAGGCCCTGGGCTGCTGTGGCTGAGAGGGACCCGCCAGTTTACTGCTGCTATCGCACTGCCACGGTTTTATGTGTATGGAGGAACTGCTGTGCTAACGTGGGGTCACTGGCTCAGCACTGGAGCGCTCGTTATTTGGAAAGTCAAGAAATGTTTTGCATGCTCTTTAGCCAATTAAAATGAGAAGGAAGTCAGGAGCCAGCAGCATGCACTGATTTGTAATTTTATCTGTGGAAAGGTGAGGGCACTTTACAACCGTGTTTGCAAGAAAAACAACCAGTCCACCACCTGCCAGAGTGCTGCCGTACTTGCGGAGCAGTACCCCTCTCCTCCCACACCTTGTAAAAAGCATCGCGATGTCTAAATACAGATGCATGCATGCAAAAGGGGTACATAATTATAAATAAACACACATGCTAGCACAGGGCCAACTATTTCATAGGACTGGCTGAAGAGGATGCTCACACTATCATAAAATCTATCAGATGAACAACAGATGCCTCCCTTTTACTATGGGATAGATACCTGATAGGAGAAACGTGAAAAGGTAATATCCAGTCTTGCACTAACTGGAGCCACTGTGCCATTTCTTTCATTAAAATTGGATCAAATCTTTGCTCACATTACCCTGTACAACTGATACATTACACATATAACCTTCCTACGCTTGATGCTTGAAATCTGCACACCAAAGTTTTTACTTTATTTTTATTCCACTCCTAAATGTTTTACTCTAAATGTAGGAAATAAATAAAATAAAATTGAATCTCCATATTATTCTCGACTATGGCCTGATGCTTGCAGTCTGAATCGTTCCTATATTTCTAGGTAATCAGCGCTCCCCCTGCACACCTATGCTGTGTGGAAACACGTTCCTGGGGCAGGATAAGGGCTATCTTTTCTTTCCGTGCCCTCTGCTCTGCACTGTGTGCTGTTCTGTAATAGCACAACTCTGAGTGACATTTTAATAAAACGCGGGGCTAATAAACATTTCGGCAAGAGTGCCAGAGAATTGATAATGAACAGATTTATGTCAAATTATTCAATATCTGCCAACCTTCTCTGCTCTCACGCTCCCCACTTGTGAGTCAAAACCCAGGGTCTAAAGATGCCTCAAATGAGAACCGAGTCACCCTGTTTCCCCACCCCTCCGCACACAGCACATGTTTGCCAACATCTCCCCCCCGCCCCGCTATTCAGCAGCTCCGGGGAGGGATGACAGCCACTCAGGGGTTAAAGAGAGGCAGTGAACCCCCAGCTAATGAGTAAGAATTCAGCAGGCAGTGTAAGATAAATGGAGCTTTCTCTGCTTCTGCTGGAGTCAGCATGAACTGCGGCCCTGCGGCTTGTTTGTGGCAAATGGAGTGCGCGAAATATCAAAGGGCAGTGATCCAGAAGAAGACCGACTTTGACAAATTTTAAATTGGCCAGAAAGAAAACTAGCAAAAAAAAAAAAAATTATGCAATTCACTGTGTCCTGCAATCTCGGCTTTCCTGCTATGGCAAGGAATTAGTGGCAAAACAACAGCAATGATCGCCCAATGTTGGGAGCAATTACGAGCCATCTAAGTGAGATGCTTATCAGCCACTGAAGCTTTTAGAGCTCTCTGTACGTACAGTTGTAAGTGACTTGCTCTGGTGTTGCAGTCATTTTAATTAAAGTGTATGGAGTTTGCTGGGAGTAATTACCCTGTAGAGAAAGAGGGTGGTGTGGGGGGAACCCTGAACAGGCTCCCGCCTCCTCCCATAGCATGGCTTTGCATTTTTGAGACTGTTGGCAGAAATCTGCTTGCCCTTCCATCTCCCCAGCCCCTGTTTTTTGGGGAAGCTGGTGCACCCAGGCTGCTGGGGCTGCAGGAGGCTTCGGGCAGCTGCACAGCACTTGCGCCAGCCCGCAGACCTTGCGCGGGGGCCACACGGCGATAAATAAGCATGTGCTGCTCTGCTCCCCCTTCCTCCACTGCTGCAGGATTTAAACAAGCAAACAGCCCTCTTTGTCCGCAGCCGGTGTCTCTCCGCTCTTGGAAATGGATTCATCCGACAGTCACCTCCCAGAAGGCACCATTTCTTTGCAGGGGCGGTAGGCTGGTTTGTAAGTCAGAGGAGCCTGCGCTTTTTATGGTTGGGCTAAGGTAAATACTCTCAGAAGCGGTGCTCCTGCAGTAGTGCCATTTATCTGCATGGACCGGTGCTGACTGCTCAGCATATTGCCTTCCCTAACCACCCATCTGATTTCTCCTTCCTCTGGGACTCCCGCACCCGGGAGGCAGCTCTCTTGCACAGCACGCGGAGGTCCAGAAAAACACCTCCAGGAGGTATAGCTACGAGTCCTGACAGCGTTAGGAATTACACTGCAGCCTTTAAACTGTGGAGTGCAAAACAACTTGAGAGTACATTCATTGGGACGGTGTCCTGGGTCTCCATTATTTGGTGTAGCCAGGCTACCTGTTTGCTTCCAAAGGGATGCTGCCAAGTCTAACATAGGCCAAAGTTGATTTTTTTGTGAAAAGGACGTCCTTGCTACACCTACAAACATTAAAATTTGTTTTCAGAAACAGGTAAACAGAATAACATATCCCTCTGGATATTTCTGTCCACTTTCTCTGATGCAGTAACACAAGCAAGATCTGAATGCAGATATTTATCAGCGCAGTGAAAGAAAACTGAGACTTAAAAAATACTAGCACTAAAAAAAGACAAAAAATCTTGAATGCCATCAAAGACATCAGTAAGACCCTGACTTTCAGGCAGCAGTCTGATTCTTAACACTGGCAGCACCCTTTACAATTACTACCTCCCACCAAAGGAACATCGGAATGGTTGTTTTCTGTATAAATTGTTGCACTGACATAAATTAAAAAGAAGCCAAATAATAAAATGCAACTGCAGCAATAGTCATAACTTATCAGTCATTTGCAGAGCGCTTTTTCTCCTGAAGGATCCCAAAAGGCTTTACAAATTCAAACTATACCCACAAAGTGCGCTTCCTCACTACTAAAATGTAGCCCATTCTGGAGGTAGAAAGAGGCTCTGTATGATTATACCCTTACAGTTAGAGCTGGTAAAGAAGTATTTAAAGAGTCTATTCCCTTGAGGGAGTACATATCAGGTATTAAGCGCATTTTGCTGAATACCGCATCTTTCAGTTTACTGGGTATATACCAGGCTTTGGGATCACTCGGAACAAAAAGCATAGTAGTAATACAATACATGCAGTGACACGCTAGTCACTGAGCCCTGCACAAATCGCCCCATGTTTTAGGGAGGAGGCGAAGAATATTTCATCCTGTTGAAATCGAAGAGCAGACAGATATCATTACTCAAAACTGCCTCAGACACACGGTGATAGTCCAGCAGCCCAAAACGTCTTTGACCAAACCCTTAGCTACGCCAACTGACACCAGCTGAAGGTTTGGCCCAAGAGGTCTTAGTGATCTAAGCAATTGCTGAGAAGGAAACTAGGGATAAGCAGCTGTGGTGAGTGTCTGTTGTAAGGCTGAATCAACTTAATAGAAAAAAAACTAATTGGTTCAAAAAGACGCTCCATACATTACACACATAGAGGCTATGCTGTACGTACATGGGTATCATCTCTCTCACACACACATACATGCAGCTTGTCTCATCTGGTTTTCTTCCCAACTTAGATGACAGTAAATAAAAATTATCATGAATTTGATAAAATGCCTCAGTGCTCCTTTTTAAGGTCTATAAACACATTCATTAGCTATCAGCTGAACGGATCATTGATCCACCAGCACCCAAGTGCAGACATACCTAGTCGCTCCGCCAGATGGATGTAGATGGGGTCCACTCGCCTCATTGTCTTCACCAGATCTTTCCTGCGGAATTTGATTTCTACTGTCCCCTCTGGTTCCAGGATTCCTCCTCTGATCAGTGACGGGAAAAGAGAAAAGAAAGGCACTTTCAGGTCATCAGACAAGGGGAAACACAAAATGGAATGGTTCAATGTTATCTAGAAAGTACGTAGAAAAAAGAAGAGAAGAGAAAAGGAGGGGGAGAGAGGGAGACAAAACAAAGAGAAAGAGAGAACAAGAAAGAAAGAATCTTAGCTATTATTTATCCAATGCCATACGTGCACATGAGGCTTCACAGAAACATGTCTATCCAATAATATACGTAATACAGGCTGGTGGAAACAATACTCTTAGGTAGGCTCTTTCATGCTGTGACCTGAGAGCCTTTTCAAATGGTCGCAAGCTTTATGAAACAAACCAAGTAATCAACCATTTTCATTAGAGATCCTGCCCACTTCCCAGGTCAAAGACAGAGAAACATGTGATTCAAAACTTAGGCTTGGTTACGCAGGAGCAGGAGCCACCAGGGGCCAACAGACAGCTCTGCTCTTTGCCTCACTGCTTTTGAATGGGAAGGGCAATGCCCATCCAGGCCCCATCACGGCAACTTCTCAGTCTCTGCCATTTCGCAGGGCATAATTCTTGGGCAGCTGCTCCAGGGGGAAAGAAAGTGGTGGTGGTGGTGAGGATCCTACTTCCACGTGACAGGCAGCAGGCAAGCCAAAGCCCATGAATTCCTGGGCACACACCGAAATGATGCCATGTTCTCTACGTCAGCACATGGTGCACACGGCAGCCAATCAGTTACATGGGTGAGGAAAATGTCCAAGGCTGAGGGTATACAGGAAAGGCAGAGCTTTGAGGCTTGCCCAGCTCTAATAAAACGTGACACTGAAGCTGCAGAAGATACTAGGGAGAAGAGGAAAGCTCTAAGATCCATTTCAGCCGCTCCCACTTTGGCAGGGAGAACACAGGCACATCTACAGAATTGTGTACCGAGGGGTCACACTGACATAATAAAGCTATTTTCACCATCAGATGTTAGTTTGCTTCCCATTTGCCTTGTTATTTTCGTATCACGTGGCTGGATCAAATACATCAAAAACAGGAATCTAACACTCCTTAGCTTTTCTCTAGTACTTGAAGTGCTCTGCTGTTCATTTCTGTAACATCAACTCATAGCTACATCCTCCTCCTACCTCTTCCAAGCAAAATTCCCTTGATAAGATACTCCATGCTGTCCTTCTAGTTCAAGCTGCATCTACTATAGATAAGCCCAGACAGGGCTGTTGTTTCCCTCCAAATAATTTAGTATCTTTATATTTCAGATATTCTTTAAAATATTATTTTAAAAACCCGCTTCCAAGAGTTTGTCTGTAGTTTTATATCCCAAACTACCAGTAACTAGCACCTCACTTATGCAAGCTGTATTTTAGAAAAAAGTGAAACTACCCAACTGCCTACCCGATAAATAGTACGTTTCTCAGGTATTTTAAAATGCACACTTATTTACATACTTATTTAATTTGCAAAACTGTATACACAGGCACTTGTTTCAAAGCACGAAGCAGTGTGTGTAAATACCAGAACCAAAGAAAAGCCTGTGCACCAATATCTCACCGTGCTTTACAAACGTTAGTTAACGCAGCTTCACAGAGGCTGGTACAGAGAGGTTACAGAATTCACCCACCATCGAGGTCCAAGTCAGGAAAACACCCCAAGCGTCCCAGCTGGCATCACTACACAACAAACTCCTCTGACATATCAAATACAACTGGAAAGTGGTCAGTCCCTGCCATACTCTTAACTGAAAGCTTCTCACTCAGCCAGGTAATTATGCCTCAAAACAGGTGGTTATGGAGGGAGAAGAAAGCTGCCATACCTGCTCTCTCGGTCTGCATACATCTCCATGTGACGAGGATTAATGGTAGGATCAATCACAGCCCAGGACCCTCCTCTCAGCTCCGCTTGCGGCGGGATGTAAATAAGCACTGGTTGATGATACTCTCTCAGGCCGTCCACAATGTAGGCACCAAACTTCAGCACTTGGTCATACATGTCTGCAGAAAAAGGACACAGCACCTGAAGTCACAGTGTCTCAATGCCTCAGCCCCACCACGCTTGGTCAATCTAGGGAAAAAAAATCATCCAGCTCTTCTAAATGCGTCCTCCTGCCACCATCCTGCAGCTCCAGGTGGCATCTTTGGGACCTGGGCAGGGCTAGATGGACTGAGAAAGCAGATGTTCTCACAACAGTTCAGCTCCCAGATTCAGGACCTCCGCTTCGGGAAATATGGTTTGATTATTTCCAGTGTAACCAAATAATATTCACAAAATATGACCGGCAGGGCCCTCAGTTCACATAAACCAGTCTTATAAGTAGCCCTTGAGATGATCCATTGCCTACCTTCTCAGTCAAGCCACCGAGTATTTCAGCAATTCAGAAATTTAGGCCAGGTACCTGTGCATTTAACATGAGTGCAGCTGCCCAGTTTCACACTTACTGCTATGGCTCTATATCGAGATTCATGTACTGCACATAGCACACTAAAGGGCAGTAGACTTTTTGCATATCTTGATAAAAAATTGTGTGGGGGGAGGGTTCAGATGTGGAAAAGAATTCTCCTCTTCTTGCATTACAATTTAAGGCATTTTACTCAAAATTAATAAGAACAATTCCACTGGGTAAAGACAGTACATTGAAAAATCAGTCCCAAAGGTGACTTAAATAGAAGAGGAAAAAAAGGAAGACAAAAAGAATTAATATGAGAGGATATAGTTTATAATGGATATAGTTTGTAATGGAAACAGATGGACTCAAATACAAATATTTTCTTACACACAATTATATATAGAAGCATCAAAACAAAAGAGACTGACATACGTCCATTCATTCATCTAAAATCCTTACATCTCCTGAGAGCACCATTGTTTCTGGGGAAGAGAGAGACTCCAGTCAAGGTCCCCACAGCATTTAACCCCCAGTTTAGTGTTAAGCATCGACATGGAAGTTAGTTAAGCGCCATTTCAATGGGAAACACACACATACACACTCACATGTATATACCCATATATATACACACATACACACATATATATATTTACATATGTATGCATGTGTGCGTGTATGTTAGTACCACAGGTACTAATTTGCTCTCTCCAGTTCATTTGCAAGGTCATTATCCAAGTACCCAAGAAAAGGAGTTTCATATTCTTTAAGAAACCTCAAATGCTGATGAAGAGAAGAACAATCCATTTCCTGTAATTGTGAATAAATATAAATTCCGCTAGAGACAGTGGGGGCTAAGAACCAAACAAAACTCCAACCTTTTCATTTGTCCTGAGCAAAGAAAAAGACCTCAAAAGGGGTGACAAATTTATTACTAATTACACAATTATTTTATTATGTAGTGCTAGTAATAAACCACTTGAAGTACTTTCAGCTAATTCTAGTGTTAAGAAAATAATTGCTTGATTCAAATTATTTTAACTGAATTAATTCTTTACTAGACATTTTTTACTAGTGCTACATAATAAAATAATTGCATAATTAGCAATACATTTTTCACTCCTGTCAAGGGTATATATCTTACTCAGGTTAGGTGTAGAATAAAAAAAGCTCTACTTGTTTGAACAAGGGAAAGGGAGGAAGAGCAGAGAAACTGAGAAACTTAATGCGCTCTGTTCCAGGCATCCTTCTGGGCTTACCAAGCCTGGCACCAGCAAGGTCAGGGAACTATTTCTGCGACGGGAATACTTTCAAGATCAGACTTTTAAGCTCTTCAGAAGCATGAACTTTGCCACTAGGCACTTCTGTACACAATTATTCTTTGGGAGATCACACAATACAGCATCTGATTTTCCTGGAATCTCCCAGCAGGCGTAGCTTAATATTTTAGATATGGATTTCCACTGACTTCTGGCTTCTCTTGCAAGCTCAAAACCTCTCCTGAGGTCACTGGACCCACTCCTGCAGTCTTTGGGAACATGCTCCAATTGCACCTTCCTAGTTCCAGACATGGCTGCAAACTATTCTGCTGTAGAGGATTTACTCCTTCCTTAAGGTAAAAACTTCCATTAACAGAGACTTTTGACCCAGGAAGGGAGAGAGACTCAAACCAACTGCTGGCACCACGGAGCTGCCATGGTGTCGGGTCCAGGTCCAGGTCCAGGTCCAGCTCAAGGCAAGGAGGTTGCTGAGCTCCCAGGACAAGCCCATGGCAGCCAGGCTTGTTCACAACGCCCAGAACAGCACTCCGAAACACTGTCCCTAGTTTTAATGATTAAGTCCGCTCTTTTACCATCTGAACTTGTGAGCTGCCTACAAAATTTGCATCACATTTAACTACTGCAGGTGGTAAATGATGCCAGGTTTTAACAGTGCCCACTGCCCTGGGCTTGAGTTGCTTGGGCAGCCCTAGTGCCCTGCTAGGGTACAGACTTTAGAAACTGTGATCACTGTAACTAACACACTTACTGTGTTTAAAACAAAAAATGACCACCTGCATCATCACCCATGTGGCAAAGAACAACACACATCCTATTTAAAGAGTAGGTTCTTTGCACAACTATTTTTTTCGAAGGCACTTATGATGAGATTGGAAAAAATAAAATTAAATATGATATTTCTGGACCACATTTCAGTCCCATATTAATTTAAACTTCAGCATAATAAGCCACTATTGCAACAGAGAAATGCTACAGACATCCTCCAGGAAGAACAGCGTTGCTTGTTATTCAGAAGGACAGACAGAGTTTGTACCGCACTTTCCCACTCTGTGTCTGCCTGCCCAGCTGCAGTGTGCACCAGCATCTACTACAGAGAGCTGTGAAATCTGCTGGAAGCTGTTATCATTACACTGTGTGTGTAAATATTGGCAACCGGATGCATCAAGCATGCTAGAAAGGCTGCAGACAGCTTTTTGCATTTCTGTAGTGTCGGGCAGCGTGCTCTGAACGTCCAAAGCTGGAACAGATCTCATCAGCTTGGCTGGATTATCAGATAGGACCTCCAGGTAAACACCAGGCTTAGACTGGCTGCAGACACATAACGTACCTCATAAACCGCTACATGCGAGCTATACAGCCGTTCAGCAGCCAGGTAATCAGAGATTTAAAATAGCCTTTTCATTCTGGTTTACATTTTTTTATTGTTATTTACAACCTGTCCCAGGAAAAAATAATAAGTAAAACATGAAAAACCAACTGCGAGTGACCCTGTAGCACAAGCAGCGCCGCAGTTTAATGTCGCGGGGATTTGCATGCTATCAAACTATTCATGCCGAGTCCAAGACCCTGGTGCTAATTTCCAGTAAATTTCACGCTTGATGTCTCCCCGTCGTGGGTCACTGCCGGTTCGCCTAAATAAACCACTTCCAAATGGCTCCTCCATCTAAATATCCAAGCCAGTTTTTATAATTTAATTTTGCATTATGCTGAATAGCCTTCCGGCCAGACAGAGCTCATTGGGGAAACCACCACTACCATTGTGATATGCTTTTATTTATGTCATTTATTTATTTATTTTACTGCTTGAATTAGACCTCCTAGGCCGACTAGTAAAGAGGGTTTTTTCCCCCTCTCTTCCCCCCTTCCACTAATGTCAATTTTCAGCATAGCAAGAGCTGTCTCTAATCTTTTCCTACTCATTACACACAATTTTGGAGTCATTTTACCCACAGTGCAGTCGGCTCCTGGCAGTGTGTTTGTGTGCACTGAGGGGTGGCATAATTGTTTATTTTCCCTCCCTGCATAATCCCCAGCCAGCATTGATACCAAAACTGCAAACAACTCCCCAAGGAACGCAGAGGCTGTCGAAGAGAGACCAGCACTTGCTCTGTAGGCCCTTCAGCACAAAACAGCGTGCAGAAAACGCACGGACCAACATGGAAACTGCAACGGTTCCTCTCTTCCCCTCCCCTCGTGACTGATCCCTCCTCCTCCTCCAAGCTGGGCTGCAGGACGTGGCATACGCAATACAAATATTAGCACGTTCACAATATCTTTCCTACCCTGGGCTTTTGGTCCCAAATCCTAAGCTAAAATCTGTTTCTGAGGAATACTCCCAACCAAGGGCACTGGCAAAGCGGACAGATTTCACAGTATAGTAAGGCAAAGTAATTTTATAACTTTACCGAGCCCTCATTCCTTACTTACTTCCCTAGTAAGCTGGGCAGTACGGAAAGCAAGTCACAAAAGGAGCCCAGGAGCAGAGCATGGATCAGAAATCATCCTGACAGGTAACAGGTATTTTCTAGAGGAAAGAATCCTCATTGGGCCATCTTCCCTGAGCTTTCAGCAAACTAAATAGCATTTTTTTTCCACCCTGCTAACAAGACAACAGAACAATACATCCTTTGTCATAACGCCAGGCTTTCCAGAGCAGGAACTTTTGCTGCGTTAGCGGATCTATAACTTCTCTTCTGTGTTGGTTAAGTGCCACATGCAAGTAAAAGGCTGTAATCTTTTACTTACTTAAATGTTATAGTATCCATCTCACATTCTTGGCACTTCACAATATTCAAAGTAGCAATATGTGGTGCAAAAATCTAGCTGCTGGTATATTAACTGAGCAGTTTTATAACTGTTCCACTTCATGTGAACAACCACCACCACCAAGAGAGTCAACTGGGAGACAGTCCTTGATATGACAATATTCATGTGAAAAATTATCAGTGAGACAACGTTTCCACTTGACAGAATATGCCCATACATTTTGGATATGCAATACTATTGGCTTATCCAGTCCCACTTCTAAGCTGAGGCAGAAGGATATAAACCTTTCCAAGCAGAAGGGGTTTCCCGAGATTAGTCTTTAATTAGCCCAGGTTGGCAGCTGTAAATTTTGTTAGCAACTAAACCATTGTTAAAATCCAATTGCCTGTTCTCATTGCAGCTGACCTGGCAAGTTCCTATAACCCATATATGAGGGTACGTGTAAAAAAACCCAGCTGTGTTGCTGGGTTCCTAAAAAGAACTTCACGTCAAATTTGCACTTTGCATATTCTGTTATTCCTGCTATGCGCCTATTAAAGACAAGATACGAATGGGGAGGAAAGGAATGAAACCCTTTGTCACCACAACTACTGCAGCACAGGGCGTCCCTTTCGTCTGGCTGGCAATCACAGCCGGACTTTTGGCATGGCAGTGCAGAGCACTGCTGTGATTTCATAGGGCTCACATGTCCAAATACTCTGGTAGGCCTAGAAAAGTATCCCTGTACTAGCATTTCTAAACTTGACATGAAAGAGGGAGGCTGGATGCAGACTACAGCAAAGAAGGATGAGGCAGATCCACTACACAGGTTTGTGGTACAAGCTGACACCACGCTCAGCCAATCTAATAGCCAGACGCTACCCAAAGAAATGACTTGCTTCTGTCCCTGCCACGCGCTCCCACCGCTTTCCTTGAGTGCTGGGCTGTTCCCCAAGGGACGCTTCAGGGCGCTAAACCAGTAGAGCTAGTGCTACTGGCTGTGCTGCTGCGGGAAACAGCAGCTGTGCCCTGACTGGGAGAAGCACAGCCACTCTCCTGACAGCATCCAAGTTGATAGTTACCTTTCATTCCTCCAGAGAAGCCTCTCCAATTAGCAAAGACCATCAGAGGTAGCCCTTCTCTGTTGAAGTCATTGATAGCCTGGGCAGTCTTAAAGGCAGAGTCAGGGAACCACACCTGACCAGCCTGCTGGATTATCTGTTGGGAATAAAAAAGATTGTTAAGACTTGGAACGTTGGTTAACATACGAGTTAGCATAAAATGCAGAAATGGATGCAACAAGAGCTGCAACGTGGAGCCAACAATGAGGAGTGCAGCTCATGAAATGCTTAGGATCTGCTTGCCCGCAGACAAATCTGGACAATGTCACCAACATCTACAGCAGTTTTGTGACTGGTTTAGCTAAGAAAATGAAGGGAGACGGTGTGAGAAGCCTGATACAATGACTGCTGAAGGAAGGTGAAGGAGAGAGAGGAAAAAGGTATGTGGAGAAGATCAGGGAGAGGAGATGAGGTAGGGCTGGCACGGTGAAAGCAGGCAGGGGAATAGTAAAACGTCAAAGCAGAAAGAGTATGAGACAAGACAGCCACAGTGAAAGAACAAGAAAAGGATTTTTGCTTCCCCGATCTCCTGGTCCCCGCTCCCTGCGCTAGCCTTAGCATCCCACTTCAGCCACAACAGAAGTAGGACTACTGAGGAAGTGTCTACTGTACAAATGGCCAACACAACCATCCATTCACTTGTCCCAACAACGGCCATGCATTAGCACCCAACCAAGGAATGCCTGTACTTTTTGTCCCACACTTAGGATGAAAAATTTCCATCAAAACAAATGCACTTTTCAAAGAGACGTTTGCAGAGGACAAACAACGAAACACATTCGGCCTACCTTGGCCTCCGAGTCCAGGTTTGCAGGATCAGCAGGGATACTTAGTTCCACTGTTCTTGTTTCTACGGCAACTACTCCTACAGGTATTCCTCCCAGCCTGATAATATAGGAGGGAAATTTTTTGCTGTCACAATACTAGACATTTTTTCCAATCCTGCATCAAAATACTCAAAAGAGACAAATAACGCAAGCAAATGGAGGAAGCAGCATGCTGGCCTTTCCGAAAAGTTTAGGCATGTGGCTGGATAATTTCAGAGCCCAATTTATAGTTCTCAGAGCAAAATCTAGTTCTAAAAACTAACAAATACCCCACTAAAAATCAAGCAGAATAAACCAAAGCCCAAATTTAGCGCAACAATATGGCTACACCTCCATCACGTCACCTGCCACCACATAGATTTTCATGCTGACAGCCCTAACCATGCAAGATAAACCCAAGGACCCAGGGCTTCCCAAGCCCTATTTTCACAAGCACTGTCAGCTGGTCAAAAACATCCACAGGCTGCATGTTTAAGCAACGCTGTACGTCCCGGCCACCCTAAACCTTTCCTGCTTACAAAAATTCCCTCTCCCGAGTGGTTAGGGTGAATGATGGGTAAAAGTTTTGGGTTTATCTGGGTGCCCCCTCCCCACATCTGCTGCTGCAGTGTGCTTGCATGGGTGGCAGGGTGCAGGGGCGTGAGGACAGGCAGGGAGCCAGCTCCCAGCGACATTCAGCCTCACTTTCCACGGCATCTAACACCTCCTTTACACAAAAGGACTGTGGTGACAATGGCTTCTTCCAAGCAAGGGAGTCCCAGCAGAGCCACCCTCTCTCCTCAGCCACCTCCAGCTGGATGACACGCACTGCAGGCAGGAGAAGTGACAGGGCCTATGTGCACTAGGGGGTTGAAAATATTCCCATTCACTATGATTAAGAGTCTGCCTAGAAACCCATAATTGCAGAAGCCGTCTTAAATCGGTAACTTATAACTTCTATATTAGGGCCCATGTGACCTAATAAAGAACATCTTTATCCAAGTATTACAGTTATTTATTGAACTTGAAAACAGCTCAAAACAACTTCTGTTTTCCATTATACTTCATATAAATTTTATCAGGCTAGCACATGAAGATGCTACATCTTGTTTTATAGTGTGTCCCTGGACAAGTTGCCATAGAATAATAAAAGACAATTTACAGCCAACAGCACACATATTCCAAACATACATACAAAAGATGAGTTTTGGCAGCACTTACAGTAACAATCCCAAAAGAATACATCCATATTTGTTTTTTCAAAATGCCACTGCTTTTGAAAGAAGTCAGTTTCATTTGGATTATATATACGTGTATGTGAGAGTCCAGAGCAACTCGAAATTTGTCAGAAGAAATGACCGAAAAGCCAAGCTGAACATAGGCCCAAACAAAGACATTCTAGCTTTGCCAAATCGCGGGAGGTTTTTTTTGTCTGGTATAATGGCTGACCTAAAACCTTTCACATGATTATAATACTTTGCAAGATAAAACTCTAGAGAAGTGTTAGAGATGGCAGATAAAAATATTGAAGTAAATCAAGAGGCCACAGGACATCCCAAGGTCAAACGCTACAATTAATAGCTGAGTCGGCAGGTGTCTTAGGCTCCTCTCAACAGCGTAAAAAGATCAGAAAATATTCAAAGTGGAAAGGCTCTTCTGGAGTACCAGCTCTCAGACCCTTGGGACCAGCACTGGTTGGAGAGGAGTAGCTCCCCTAGAAGAGGGAGCTGAGATGCCCCTGTGCACGCCTGCTCCCACGCGACTGCCCCTTCGGCGCAGGAGCAGTTCGTCTCTAGCCAGGCCTGTATGGTTCGTATGCTATCACGTCGCGGTATTAAGGACAGACTGATTAGTTTGTGCCTTCTGCTCCAATACATAATTTGAAGAAAAGGGAATGTTTCTCCTTATCACATTGCACTCCAGGAGAAGGAAGTCAAAACCCATTAAAGACCCTAAAAAGTCTTAGGAGAAGAGCAATAGAGGAACATTTTGCTGAACACAGCCTCCTATCTGGGAGCCTCATTCAGACACTATGCAGCATTTCATTAACATATTAACAGAGCTCCTGCTGGCCTTTTAGAGATGTCCAGAATGGGCACAGGCACAATTCCCTGAGACACTGCAGATGAGCTCTAGTGAATGTCATATGCTTTGCTATTTCACAGCATGACCTCTGGCTCTCTGGCTCTCATTTAGGAGGGCTGTGTAGAGCTACAGCTTTTAAGAGTCTAAATGAGAAATGGGAGCTTTCAGTGCCAAATATCCTGGGGCCACTTGTGTTGTCATTGCAACGGAGATAAGGAACAGCACTGACCCATGGGTACACTGGCCAAGCCCAGCTGGCTACCCCTGTTGTGCTGTGTGCTTCAGAAACAGTGGTGCCTTGTCCTGTCTCCCACTGAATGCTCTGGTAACAAACGGCAGCATCCCCTGGAATATCCTGGTACTGTGGTCAGTCCCTGAGTCACCAATTTGGTTAAATTAGAGGCTGATGGAGCCAGACTCCAGGGATGGCCACAGGACTTCCAAAACATTGTAAGCATCACCAGATAATATGGCTCTGGATCGGTGGCACTATGATGTTGAGAGTACGGGACGTGAAGTATCTGCAGACAGAACATCTTTCTTTTACGTAGACTTCTTCCAGGAAGCAGGGCATCCTGAGCACCCATCATTCATGCGCATGACCTTATCACATGAGGTGTTAACACCTGGATCCTCAAGAATGCTGTTCTGGCACTTGAGCCCTTTTTCTCCCCTCTCACTTGTTAACAAAAAAAGAGAAGGCTGTCAATTAGCCAAAACTGCTGACTTCTCTTATGAGCTGGGAGCCCTCTGGAGGCAAGAGCATGAAGCTCTGTCTTGAGAGGAGAGATGGCAGTGGTCTGAAGAAGAAGTGACAAAGGATAAGCATGGTGCACTGGGCAGCTCGAGCACATGGGAGATAAATGCACTCTGTCAAAATGACTTCATTCTGAGAGGAAGCAGGCAATCCGATCAGGAAATTCACAGTGCCTTTTTTTTTTTCTGGCAAAAGCTAAAAAAGAAAAAAAAATCCCTCCCAAATCACTTAGTGAAGTAGGGATTGAGAGGTTCTGAGCCCAGCCCTGATTTGCACTCTGCCAAACTGCAAGTTTTTGTCTCCAGGCTTCTGCTTCCTGAGAGTTCATGGACCTGCGACACTGAGAACGACCAACACTGCAAATATTTTCAAGGCAGGGATGTAAATTTTGAGCCAGAAGGGAGTGTTGCAGAATCCTGAGCAGGTGCCACTTCACACCAAGGTATGAGGAAGCGATGGCCTGGGGAGGAGGAGAGCACCACCAGCTTCTGAAGCTGCTTGTCTCTGCGCCATGGAAGACAGCTAACATCGGGTGTGGCAAGTGCTAGTTTGAAAAATGTTGCAAGTTTTTCCACGCAAATCTCAAATGTTAAGTTCCTCCTAGTGCAGAGTTTCTTGCAATTTGCTCTAGTTTTAGCTGAACTTTTCTTGCAAGCCAAACGTGATTGCAAAACAATAAACTGCATCATCTACCCTAAATGAAGTGAGAGCTGCAAGAAGGCCTCGTTATGGTACCATGTAGCTAAGGGACCACATATTGTCTGCCATCACTTTTTGACAGCACGTCTCTTTTTGGCCTTTGTGCAGTTTAAAGCTGTCACCCCGAAACAAAACAGGAGAAATTATCAATCCATGCTTTATTCATGTGGTAAAGAGGTGTCCCATTGAAGTAATGACTTATTTTTACTTATACCCACCAAATTTGAAAGGAGGTTCTAGAAAAAACGCAAAGTATCAGAGACAACTTGATTTCTACAAAGGTCTAAAATCACTGGAGAATTTACCTGGCTCTACCAACCACAACTGTCTGTGCCCAGGGCTGCATGATCTCCAGGAATGAGCCATTGTCAAAGAAACCGCTTAGCCACTGACCTTTTTGACCTAAAGGGGAGGGGGAAAAAAATGAAATATCAAAAGAGGAAGATGGGAAGGAAGGAGGAAGGAAAAAATAGAATATAAAAAGAGGAATTGAAATTTGCTACAAGATACCAACTAGACAACTGGAACTGTCTTTTTATTTATTTATTTTTAAATAGATTATAATACAAGGGAACATTAGACAGCTGAGCATTTGTCTGCCTTCAGCCATCATGTCTTATTTCATTTGCTAGTCTGCATAAAGACAGCCATTTATCAGCAAAAGCATCATTTATTGTTAAACGACGGGGTTCGGATAGCAGAGGGACTTTGCATGCTTTTAAATAAATAACTATTTTTTTCAAGATACTACAAACATTTGTCAAAAGGCAGTAAAGTCATTAAAGATATTTTTCAAAATGCCTATTTCTATTTTAAAACTTAGCTCACGATTTTCTCTTGACTCTGTCTAGTCTTTCCTTTAAAGAAAATAGAAGCTGAAGAAATTCAGGAATAAAATACAAAGTTTTTATGATATTTAAAAACTATATAATACATCAGTGTTTCACACATTCTCTTAGAAAATCTGAAATGAAGTACTGCAATAATGAAAGTCTACATGCTCCACAGAAGTGAAGTAAAGCATGCTCTAAGAGTCACCATGCTAGATCAGACCACATACTCGTTAGACCTGTTCTCTTGCCCAGAGAAGACAGTAGCTTCCTAATGCTTCAGGGAAATCAACCTGTTCCTTAACAGTACATCACCATGATGACTGTGCACTGCCAAGGGAAATAAAGTCTTCCTGAGCCTTGCGGATAATCAGCTTTGATCCTGAAACATGCGGGCATGATCACCTCGATCCTGCAACTAGGCACTGCTATTATTTGTCCTTTATAAAGCCGACACAGTACCAGACTTAGGGCTCCTCCTGCATCACAGACTCCAAAACACTGACAATTCCGCTCCACCCTCACATGCAATAACAGATCTGTTGACTCATAACCCACATACCTTCCTTCAAATAAAATTCTCAGGATGAAAACTACCCCCACAGGCAGTGGGGTGGGAGATGATGGTATGTTTCTCTCTGTTCCACGGGTGTTTCTTTTGTGTGCACAAAAGCCACTATGAATAGTTAGGCCTCACTACCCTGTCAGTGCGGCTGCATGTCACTGTTTCTGTTCTCCAGACAGGAAGACCAAGGCAAGAAGGTTTTCCAGCGTTTCAGATTGAACCCTGCTCCAGTGAGCAGCTAAGGGCATGACAAACAACTTGCATTCGGGCTGATTGCTGATGCTGGATCGGAGAGGGACGAGTAAAAGGGAGGGTCCGTAGGCAGCTCTTTCTGTGGTCAAGGCATTGAGATACTCTGTCCACCCAGTAATTCCAAAAACCACCACCACTCTGTGGGCATCTGCTTTCCACTGAAGCTTCATGAAACTTTGCGGGATTACACACACAAAAAAAAAAAACCACACACTCTTCCAGCTTTACCCCTTGGCACATGGCTTCTGAGGGATGCTTTAAACTGAACAAGCACCTCTGCTTCTGTAAACCCAAGTCCAAAACCAATTAAAAGTGGAGATCCAAGCAAGCTAACCTCTGCTGACTTAAACAGGATGGAGAGTGTTTTATCAAGACCAAACTTGTAATTACTGTGTTCTACATTCCCTGCCTCTGTGGCCCCACTGTAAAATGTGACCATCCATTTCAAAATTATCTCTTTATCGTGAGCCCAAAGCTGATCGTTTAGATTCTGGCCTCGTGTCGGGCGTCAGTTTGAAGAATATCACGGCAATATCTCCTCTAATAAATGGCTTTAACTTTTCACCTAGGAGATATCTGCTTTAACTTATCACAGGGAATCATCTGCTTTCCTTAACGCTTCCACTAAATTAAAATCTGAAGTCACTCGATTTGGAAGCCAGTGTTAGCTGCACTCAGACAGCTGGATGAATTACTTGAGAGATGATGAAAAAATATTATCCAAAAACAGAAAACTTAGTTTATCACAAATCTCATTTTAGCCCCCCAAACTCATTAATAACAGCAGGCATAATAGTCACCCAGTTTGCAGCTTGTATATACACAAGCTGCACAACCCCAAAAGCATGTGTGTGAGGTCAATGGTTTGCTCTATTTCCAATAAAATTATTCTCCAAGATCTGCAGGAATACTGTGTGATTCCTTTAGGGTAAAGGCTTTTGTACATACTCTTTTCTCTAAAACATCACCTCCCAAAAATCTATAAAAATAACTAATTATTGTAAATGTTCTCAAGCACTCAGTATTTACATGCTGTTTTTATATTTTAAATTTAAATCTTTTAGAACTAATTACTTTGTAAGGTCTTAAATTATATTTGGATTGCAGGCCCCAGATCTTCCTTCCTATTCCAATCAGCTTTAGTCTTTTGGACTAACAACATTCACAGGCTACCTGGCTGGTGACAGAAAAGAGAAGATAATATTCCAAGTTTGGAAGCAGATCTAGAGAACCTCAAGACAGGACAGATTCAAGCCTCAGAATGCAATGGTCTTGATTCAAGCCTCAAAACGCTACAGAAAAAGAATGCAAGTATACAGGGTTAGCAAGCAAGGTCTCCTGGAAGGTCAGCCACAAACTTCCCCTTCAAGTTGTGCATTTTGTCTCACGTGCTCTGTTTGATTCTCTTCATTAAAAGAAGCAATTTCCAGAATTTGCAGAATCACTTAGTGATCTAAGTGCTTCCCAGTCTCTTTTTCCAAAATGACCTCAAAAGGAACTGAAATGCATTTGAAAGTCAGAGACATTCAAACTCCCAGTCGACTCTGAAAGTGAGACTTAGGTCCACCCCAACTGCTTCTGAGTATTTCAGATTTTCATTTGACTCCTGCAGGTCACCATCAATTTCATCTTGTAAAGGCTAGTTTGCCAAATGCACCGTCTTCTCTTACACATATTGTACAGACAGGAGCCACAGCTACATTCTTATCCTTCCTTCTTTGTTCTCCTTCACACCTGCCATTCTCCTGAAGCTATGGAGTTATTCACATGCGGAAGTGCGTGTGAACAAGATCTTGCGGGAGAAGTCTGCGCTGTCCTGAACCACTGTCTTCTTCTGAGTGGATCTCAGATCCACTTGAAACCGCCTCATTTGCTAACATAGTTTACTCAGTAGCCTTTCTAATTCATAACTACACCATAGGCATATAACCGTACCAGAGTGCTATCAATGGTAAATATCAAAATTACATCACTGATAAAATATTAACAGATACGAAAGCCTTGACGGATGAAGTCTTGAAACAAGACACATTACTGCATGTTTTGGCCACTAAAGATCTACGTACTTGGGTTTGGGCGGCCAGCCAGCATCCAGCGGGGATCATAGGGAGTCTTGGTAGGAACAAACTCTATGGTTCTGTCTATTGGATCCTTGACTTTGAGGATAGGAACAGGGCTGTACACGCTCTAAGAGAAAAAGAAAAATATTCAAAGAAGTAATTCTCCTATACGGCTTTGCACCAAACATTAGAAATCTAATGGACTTGGTTGGAGCCATCTTTCCTGCACACTGCGCAACCCTGTGACTAATGGGGTCCCAGTGCCTTTGCAAGAGCTTGGATGAAGTTCCAAGGTGCTCTCTACGCTCTCATCAGCCCTCCTGGGGCGTCATCTGCCATGCATTGTACTTCTTTTGCTCTTGAACTTCAGGCGCTGCTAACATTAACCAGGGTTGCAATTTAATTTTTAAAAGGTGTCCAGGCCACCGGACTCATCCTCTGCTCGCTTTCCTGAAGGGAGGCGAGCGTGTGTTCTCGTTGCTGTCTTCCTGGCTGCAGAGGAGCTTACACACATACATCAGCTCCTACAAATTACTGCCTCAGAGGGGAACTTTTAGAATATTTTCAGTAAGAGACAATCCACCGCTTATATAAAATCCTGCTGCCCAGACTAGTGAGGAGAGCATGCCAGTGGGGTGATGTGAAGGTACACAAGGCAGTGCCAGACTCCCCCTCGTCCCAGTTTCTGCAGCACCCTAAGATAAGAGCTACTTTGTGCATTTCAAGAACATAATGCCTAACAGCCGTAATCATGATCCTAAACCATTTTGCTCTGTACAGCACAGAAAAATGCCATAGATGCACAGGGATGGATACATCCCCCCAAAACGCGACTGTGAACAAAGTAACTAATATAGCTAATGGCACCTTGCACTGCTGCAGGGCCAGGCATTACCTTTGGCATGTAGGAGAGCCACTGCAGAATAGTGTAGACTCCTTCAAAATCATCACACACAGTGCCGTGCGTCACGCCGTTGTTGTGCATTATTTGGATCCCGCCCAGCTGGTTGTTGGAGGTATAAACTTCTCGTCCAAGCACCTTTCAAAAGAAAAACAGGAAAACTGTCAGAGGGTGGGATGCAGCAAGGAGCTGCTTGCTAAGGAGGCATGTACAAGCCCATTCCTGCAGCAAGAGGGTACACTGAAGGACGGAGCAGCCTCTCACGATAGACCTCTCCAAGCCCTGCCTGGGGGTAAGAACTTAGGGTGTGCTTAGTGATTCTCACGGGAAATGCTACAAGTGGGGAAACTGGGGCAGAGGACAGTTACATGACTTGCCCTTCATTAAACTGTGGTGGAGCTGCATGTGATCATGTCTCCAGAGTTCTGACCCGAGCTCAGTTCACTAATTCAAAATTGCAAGACGATGGGTAATATGGATCCCTTTAAGCCCTTAATGGGGGTGGGAAACCCCAAGGCACTGTAGAAAGGCCAGTATAGCAAGAACAAAGCCCCACGAGCTCCTTAGAGGGACTAGAAAGAATAAGACCCTGACTGCTGGACTTTCAATTCTCTTGCATGGCTCCATCTCTAATCTCAGCCCAGGCACCGCAGCTCTTTTCTCATTCTCCTGCTGTCTCTTTCCATTTGCCCTCTCGCTGACTGATACACTGATCTCTCGGTCACTCGGCTTTCTGCTCCACTGAGTCCATATTACTAATAACACCTCTGCCACGGCCAGTTTACCTCATGAAGGCAGGAGCACATCATTACAAAATAAACTCATAACTTTGACATTCTAGCAAATACATGCCGTTTGTTATTTTTATGGGTTGAGTCTTTCTAACAGACAGAGGGCATTACATACCTGCTTCATGTAGATCTTAAAAAAAAAACCTCAGACGCACACAAACAACCTGCCCTCCCCCACCAAACAGCCACAGTGGCTAGTTTTCGGAAAAAGGCCTATCTAAAGACAGAAGCAGCTTGGAGCCCAAGACAACTCGATTCTTACAGAAGGTGTTGCGCTCGGATCTGCTTTATTGGCACGAATGCAAAATACCCGCGTCCTACAGCGTGTGCCTGGGATGCAACTCATCTCACTCACAGCACAGCCAAACTCCACATTTCTCAGGATTTGGCCTTTTTTGCTGACAGTTAGAAGGTACCAAAATGATATGAAAACAGAAAATTTTGATCTGGTTATACAACTGAGCTGGACCAATCAGCTTTCTTCCTGTACCATGTCAGTTCCTCCTAGCTGGGGCCAGGGAGCCTCTGGGCTCGTACAAAGCATTGCCCAATTGGTAAGGTACAACATATAATTTGCTAACTCCAAATTTATTTCCCTTTGGAGGAAAAAAGGCCCAGTAACCTGACACTTTACAAAACTCAAGATTGTACAAGCACCAGATTATCCTCCCACAGCTGCCTGTGAGACACATGTCAGTCGAGGCTACCTACAGAAGAAACCGAGGCACAGGAGGTAAGCAACTAGCTCAATAATTCAGACATCACTATAAGCACTGTGGTTTTGTGGAGAGAAGTTGGGTCTCCCTTCTGAGCTCAAACACCTTCACCTTCCTCTGTAAGAAAATCTGTGCCATGAAAAGGCCTGGTAGAGAGGACAGCAGTACAGATTTAGGTTCAAAGAAGAGGGAAAGCATAGGCCTCCAGATGCCAGACACAAGCCTAGCTAAATGCTTTCCACAGAGGAAAATAAAAATAAAGAGGATTTAAACTCCCCATCTACAAACTAATGCAAACGTATGTACATGCAAAATGGGCCTCTGCTGCTGCTTATCTAGAGACACTGCAGACAGCTCAGGTTTACCACTGCTGACAGGCAATGAAAACAGTCTAATATACCGCCTGCTCTTGCCCTTAAATCCCTTTTTGGAGATCAAGATAAATATGCAGTTCCTTTTCCCGAGTGCTCCAGACATTTCAGTGAAGTGGCAGAGCACTGTGAGGGTCTGTGCAATGAAATCCCTCCGTAACACCGAGCGAGCGTAGTGTTTACCTGTCAGCGTTTGTCAGGGGAGGCACTGCAGTCCCAAGCTGCATTTAAAAGTTGTCTTGATGAGAGCTCGCTCCCTTCATTTGTATGACATGTATGTCCACACGTGTGCACTCAAGGCTCTGTGCTGAGCGCAGCAGGAGGGAGAGGTGATACACGCGCTAGCGCAGCCACATGCCCAGCAAGCTACTCCCTGACGTTCCCTAGGGCACGATGGATATAGCCGAGGGGTTAAAGAGCCTGTCTCCCCGGGCTAATGCTAGGCTGGGTGCTAGTCCCCTAACCCATTTCTGCAGGTGTGCTCTTGGGAATGATCAGAGATCCTGCCAACTTGCTTCATGCATACAGCTGCAGACTGGATTGGGTGCCAGAGGTTAAAAGGCACTGAAGGGCTAGCCAGCTTACAGACGATGATCATTTGGCTTGAGAAAAAATGAATGCAACAGCTCATCCATTCAGCTCTGCTAACCACCTCATCTCTGACCTGAGAGGACTACATTTTTAAAGGCTGACAAGTAATTCAATCTCCAATTAACAATTTTAAATGGTGCAATGCATATTGGTGTATAAATGTTTCTGCAAGAAAATATCTAAGGGTGAAAGAGAATACAGCTGCTAGAGAAGTCCAGAACCGATGTTTCTGCAATTAAAGGATTCAGATGATCTTCAGAAAGACACACAATCAGCAGAGGCAGGAGCAGGATTTAGAAATGTGGCCAAATCAGTTAGACAGATAATGCTACAAACAAATCATAGGAAAAAAAGACTGCATGGGACTCTAAGTTCTGTATCTGACATGACTAGGATCTGTGAAAAGGGTAAACTTCAAACTCTGAGAGTTTGGGTCAGCGAAGGTACACTGAGACACACAGAGCAGGAGGTTAAGAAGCGAAAGTAGCATTAGCCCAAGCCTTACAGAAGGCATCTGTGTAATGACTGAACACGTGCATGGAAGGGTTAAGTTTGCAGAGCAGGTCCTTCCTAGGAGAAAGGTTACTAGCACTCAAGGGAACAGTCAAAGATGCAGCTACCAGAGCCAGATGCCACAGAACAGAGATCAAGAAAGGTCCAGCAAGAGGGATGGAAAGAATAGGTTCCAGATTTTTAAAGCTCAACTATATAATACATATATAACTGAATACTGGTAATATTTGACCTCTGATATTGTGCTTAATTTGGTGGCAAAGACAGACAAAAAAGAGCAGCCATGATCAGCAAAGTACCAGACATTAAGCTTCTAGCACCATAAAATTTGCTTTAAATTAAAATCCCCCCCCCTTCTTAATTGGGTCATAAGATTAAATAAGAGTGAAAGCCACACAAAATCCAGAAACCATGTTTGACATGCTAACAGTAAAAGGAAGCTATTGTGGGCCACGAGCCCCACACTGAGATCGCAGACTTGCCCTTTCTGAGGTTTCTAGCGAGGACCCCCCTACTTCTGTTACTACTGTTTTCCTGTACGTTATCCCAGTGCCTTCGCATTTTGGATATAATTTCCTGTTTCGGATATAGCAACTGCAGGTCTGATATTGCCGAGTCAGGCGCAGCAACTGCCGCCTCCTTCAGCTGGAAGCTATTAGCAAACAGGTCTGGTTTCCTCTACGCCAGCAGCCTTTCCCCTGAGTCCCCTCAAGCACGAACGTCAACCATAGCCAAAAAAGCGGGACGGCCACCAGCTACCCCTTTCACTTTTGCTGCCAAATAGCCCCTGGGTCACCACAGACCCAGCTCAGTGTCAGATGAGCCTCGCAGTTTCCCCTTCTTTTGCGCCCACAGACAAACCTTTCAAGTGTGCAGCAAGGAGCACATCTAACAGGATCCACAGGACAAAACTAATCCTCTGCGCTTCCATCCCATCAGCGTGAGGAGGACACTCGGTGAAGTGGTCAAAAAGAAATACAAGATGTGGAGCTGCATGTGCTACAGCTCAGCTCATGCTTACACAAACACATGCTACTTTCCAGGTAACGCAGCCCCTGCTATTACATGCTTACCTAACACGCCGGCAGTATTTTCATTTGTTCTACACTTCTCTCACCACCGTAATGGGACACCACGTTTCTCTTTCCTTTACTGGATCTTTGGGAAAAGTACAAAGGAGAGGCAGGATTCTAACTGCCTTTCCAGCCATTAAAAGACTGTCCTCAACAGGTTGATAGCCTTGTCACATGCATTTTAATCATCTTCCAGCACTCTAAATGGTGACGACCAGCTGCTTTCTCTCTGTCCCTTTCAAAAACTGAGCTGCTAGTTAGTCGAGATGTTCACTGCAAAGCTAGTATAACTGCAAACTTGGGTGGCTCTTACGTCTCATCAAAGATGAAAGAGGTGAAAAAATGACAGCAGAGGCCTTGAATGGGAATCATTATGTAACATAAGTGCTGCTATTATTCAGAGCATATCATGTGTTTATATCAAATGTAAGTGCCAGATTTTTATCCAAATAATTTCAATAATTGCAATTCCCATCCCACATTTTATATCGTCTGCCAGAGACCTGAAGCAGAAAAGCCACATGCACTACTATAAATAGCCTAGTTTTCATAAACAGGCAGAAATGATAAAAATGAATATCTCTTCAGAAAAAACAATGCAGGAACTTAAAACCTGATTGCTATTATGCTCAGTCAAGCCTCAGCAGATCTTACAGCGTTCATTTCTATCATTCAGCTCTTCCCCGGCACATATCAGGTCATTAGAGGGCAAAACAGTGGCAACATTGAGCAAGAGAACCAAGCCGAGTTCGGACGCCTGCAAGAGCCGTGCTTCTCCCTTCCTTGAGGCGTTAGCCTGTTCACACAGCGGCCCGAGCGCAGACACCTCCTCTCCGCCTGGAAACGGACTGTGGTTCTTGCATTTCTAATCTATGAATGTGTGCAGTTCCTGCACTTTTAATTTACGAGCGTTCGGTGGGGGACCCTTCTGACTTGGGAACATATTGGCTCGGTCTAATGCTTGGAGATTATTAAAGTCAGAGCTATACTCCACTATCAAGTCTACAGATCTTTTATTTAGAAGATATGGTGCTCTAAATGCACAAAGAGCTCCCTGTCACCTTCACATTAAAGCCCCTAGTG